ACCCGTCATGTGCGCAGGGGGATACGACGACGAGAGTGCGCTCGCGCCCGGGGCGCGGCGCCGAAGTCGCGCACGACGACGCCGCTCGTGCGCGCCCCACCACCAGCCCCCCGCTCGTACGCGCGCGGGACGGTGTGGAAGCGGGGAGAACCGCAATGGGAGGGGTACGAGCTTAGGGTAAACTCATCGGTCTGAGTGTTTTTGTCGGAAGCTCCTGCCACCCTCTCCGATGGTTTGGGGACTTCCCTTATTTATACGGGATGATACCCATCGGGATCCAGGACTTGCAGATAATGGAGGTCTCAAAGACGCTCACATCTCCATATTCCGGATTCCCCTCCGGCGCCGTCACCTTCCGCCACTGCACCGACACGAGATAGCTGGGCTTGCCATAGTCTCTGAACTCGTGCGGGAGGCCGAAAACGTACACTGCGCTTTTGAGGCCCAGTGATTCCGCGACATCGTGAAGCTCTACGAGCAGGTACGCCTTCTGACTCCGGTACAAGTCTGTGTTGGCGAACCCATGCATGTGCTTATTCCTTCTCTATGATGCAGCCAGCAGCGAGTTTCATCGGTATGGCTATCGCGCTTGATCAGACACGTACTTGTACATGTATGGAGCTTACTCACCTATCATGCAAGCTGAACAGAACCGTGTCAATGTTCGGACAGGATATTTACGCTGCCAGAGTAATATACAAAACCGCGGGTTCTATAGACTTCGGCTGAGCCGATATAATGTCAGTTTTCCTGTGTACCCATATTGAGAGGTGCAGAATCAAGCCTAGTCTTCGACGTGTCGGTGATAGACTACGAGATCGTGGCAGGATCGGCATATAGCTCCCACAGCCCTGCACATTCGCATACGTGTGGACCAAGCGTACGGGAGGATCAGGCTCAGGCTCACGGGCCAGCACTTGTCACTTGTGTGTTCGGATAGGGTTGTAAGGAAGACATCCTTGCGTTGGATACGACTCTTGAATGCTTGCTCGAACGTAGTCCAATTAGATGAATTGAATTGTGTGGACCAGTCACGGCAAGTATTCTCCGTCATAGCAGTAACTTGAATATGGATTGAGCACACTGCTGCAGAGTGTGGCGGACTCAGGAGATTTGGATCCGGGCCGAGATAGCCGACCGACAATTCGGACAGTACTGGCTCAAACAAGTGCGGCAAGCACTGACCAAACAGCTCCGGCTCTCGCTCAGCTCGAGCATTACAGCTGTTTGCAGTTCGATGGGCCCATTTCTCGAAAATCATTTACAGTCGGACTATGTCGGAGAGGGAAATCCAAGTCCCCCAGGCCCCAATATCAGACCACTTGGACTTCTTTTAATTTCTGGGACGTCCCTGGCACCATGTCCGACACACGACTATACGTGACTTTCTGAAGTGACGGCCTATCGATCTGCAAGCGGCTGTAACGGTGGCGTACGCCAGCCAGAGCACCGTATACTTACTTAGCACCTCGAAGCTTGCAGCCATTTGCAGATCGATAGGCCACCACTTTAAAAAGTCGCATATGGTTGGAGTGCGTCGGAGATGGTGCCAGGGATGTCGGAGGAGCGAAAAGAAGTCCCGATGGTCAGACTTTGGCACCTCGGGGACTTGATTTCCCCTCTCCGACATGGTCCGACTGCAAATAATTTTTCAATAAGTGGGCCCATCGAACTGCAAATGGCTGTGATATACTACAGAGTCATCTTGAACTTTGATGAGACATTCAATTGATCCCCGTCATGTCTTCGGAAACCGTACATCAACTGGCATTCAATGACAATTCTTCATGACAAAATGCAGGGCCTAAATGTCATACAATGATACCGATACATCTCATGCATTGGTCTGAGTGTTCCTGTCCGAAGCTCCCGTCGATGCCACCGCCTCCGATGGTTTGGGGATTTCCCTGATTTCTGTGGAATGATACCCATCGGGATCCAGAACATGCATGTAAGGGAGGTCTCGGAGACCTTCGTTCTCCAACGCCTCCCGGAGGCTGATTACTCGGTCGCTCGTGCGATTGAACATTCTATAAACGTTCCGATCTCCGTATTCCGGCTTCCTCTCCGGCGCCGTCACCTTCCGCCACTGAACCGACACGAGATAGGTAGGCTTGCCATAGTCCTTGAACTCGTGTGGGAGGCCGAAAACGCACACTTCGTTTTTGAGGCCCATTGAGTTCGCGACATCATGAAGCTCTATGAGCGGGTACGCTTGCTCCGATTCCGGTTCGAATCCATGTCGGCGAACCCATTCATGTGCTTGTTCCTGCTCTATCAGGAACCCGGCTGCGAGTAGTACAGTCATAACTGTTGCACTTAGTGAGACCCACAACCGTGCATGTATATAGGGCCCACTTACTAGAAAGATTGGCAAAATCGGCACTGTGCTGGAGGAATGTTTGCGTTGGAGGAATAGCCGGACGCAGGGTCGGGTTTTATACTAGTAGAGCTCTAGCCAATGTGGCGCAAGCTTCCATGGGACCCACAACTACGGTTGCCGAGCAGCACCAGGTCTATTTTCCAAAGTGCATTTCACTTCGTCAGGGTGCCTTTACATCCCGCTGGGGTCCATGAGTGGCTGTGCGAGGTCTGGTCAGTCCCCTGACTGCATCGCCGGACTCCTTCTCCAGCACAGTTTCTGAGCATTTCTCTACTGTGTATGGCCTATGTATGACTTGCTAAAGTATAAGACACAGCTACAGAATACAGAAAGTGTGCACGAATGCTCTAGAGAGCGCTTGAGGCGTAGAGCAAGTATCATGGGGGTCCCGGTGAGACTCCGGGAAGTCCAGGAACATCCGTAGCCGGGAACTGAAGAGCTTCTCGACTCTCTGCTTTTCAAGCGAGATCTATGGTGACACTTGATTTGGATCTGTACTTGTCGTAACTTGTCAGTGAGTCCCAATCCTTTAGCAATAACATATTATACCATACTGTGGTGCGCTACTGTATTACTGTACTTTAATTTTGCTAGAATTTGCAACTTCTACAGGTCCGACTTTCGTGAACTCCCGAAGGCGCCGGACTCGGGGTGCGGGTCAATGGACTTCAGCTCGCCCAGCAAGTGCAACCGGCACGCAGAAACTTGGATCTCGGATAGTAAGGGTCCTTCAACAATACAGCAGCAAACTTAATTACTGGCTTCAGTCTTCTATCACTGCTCTTGACCCGGAGCATAGCTGGAGGGCGAATTCAAGTAGGCATGAGGCGCTGCGAAAGGAGGGTCTCCGGGTCCCACACCCCCGAGATCAGTATTGTATTTCCGGGGTCCGGATACGTAAGATCGTGCACTTGAGCAATGGCATTCACGAAATAGACCTGGTGCTGCTCGGCAACCGTACACAACTCAACCCGTTACACTAGCGTAAGAAATACAAGGATCGTTGTTTTCTGCAGAGCTGTAATTCAAAGTCATTGCGAAACACTACTTCAAACCCGGAAACGAACGCCGAGCTACATACTATGCATGTTAGAGATGCGCCGCTCAAGGCCTTGAAACATGTGTCGGGCTTTATATTCTCGTAGCTGTTGTATCAGCAAGATTTGGTATCCAAGAGCTCAAACGAGCTGAGCTTCTTCTGAGGTTCGTGAAAGGTAGAGCTGCATCAATGCCTGCGCTACTTAAAGAAGGCCTCCGGGATGGAGTCAGTAAACACATTCGAAGAAAGCTCAGGTATAATTGGTGCCGCCTCGTCTCGCCTTCATTCCACGCTGACGATGAACTATAGCAGATATAAACCATAGTGAAATGCCGTCCTCCAAGTCGCCCTCGTCAAACTGGGACGAAGTCAAATGGGTCGACTCTAAGCTGGAAGCCGGCTTGAGCAATCCTCGCTATGAAAGCTCATTATATGGAGTGATAAATACGCTCCTGGGTCATTGCTTTCCGGGCAAAGATTACTTCATTGTCAAGCCACAAGCAAGGCTGCGGCTGAGAGCCTCTGCCGACCACGAGAGCGACAACTCGGATGATGCCCGGTCTCAGGATTCATACGGTGATGAAGTGGAATCCAGGGCCGTCAAAGGCCCTGAGCCCGACATAGTGATTCCGGATTGGGTGGTGTCGAGAGTAGTCAATGCCCTCCATGAGGAACCCCTCGCCATTGTGGAAGCAAAGGTAACGGATGACGAAGGCCTGTGGCAGCGGACGAAAGCTCAATTTCAGCTCCAAATGGGGCGCTTGGCCAGCAAGACCCAACGGCGCCCCATCTTTGGCGCCATTGTCAGTGGGACGACGGCATACTGCTATATCATGACCGGTTCCATGACTCGTCACAACACCGAGCGACTCTCAAGCTCAGGCTTACACGGAGCTGCCCTTGCCTCGGACGAGTGGCGCAGGTGGCTCGATCGCGTGCATAACGAGGGATTGACGATTGCCACTGAGTGGGAGTAGGGTTCACGAGGAAGATATGGGTGGTCCATGCACAAACGTTTGTACAGAGCATATTAAGAATGCCTAGATGAACACAGCCAAGCGCTCATCGATATTCCTAAACGGTTGAACGGGAGAACCTACTACTAAATCACTGGAAGGAATATCTCGCACTGAACAGAGGAGCCAAGAGACCTCTGCGGTCTCCATTTAGTCCGCAAAGAACGAGGGACCGGACTCGGGCGCTTAGAATTCCCCACAGGGCAGCGCGTGCATACGGCAAGCTGGAAAGTTGGAAGGCGGCACTTGAAAAGGCTAGCATTGGAGACTGGACGTGAAGCCAGGGAAAAAGGAGCGGCCATATAGAGTCGAGATACCGTGCCTCTCTGCGAGCGCTCGCAGCGAATCC